TTATTGATTCTTGGAGAAATTCAAAACAAAATTTGCCTTGCACAACCTTCACATAAGTGATTTGTTTTGCCCTTGTGAATTATTGAGTTTGTGAAGTCAATTATGTAAACGTTTTAGTTTTTACTATGCAAACCTCACGATTGCTGCTAGACTAGTGATTGTCTCAGTCTCATAACTGGTTGTTGGCCCAATCATAGCATTCAAAACTCTTAACCAAACAATGAGAATATATAAACAGTTGATAAAAAATAGTTGAAAACTTAAAAAGAGCTTGGATTCTCAACATTATTTTGGAGATGTTGTATTCACAAGGTACAAATCACTGTTTAAATAGCTTCCATCACACTACAGTTGAGCCAATGACCAAAACACTGATAAGGGGATGGGTCAATACAATTCTTATCTTCAAYGTTAGGAAGCATTTCCAACATGAGGCTTCTGCACCTGGTTGTATGAAGGGYGGACAGCACTATCTGATGATGGATAAATTTATTGGATAACAGCATTGACTTATTCACTGGATAAGGATTTATCCTTTGGATASCACTCTCCACCCTTCGTACAACTGGGCCCTGGTAATGATGTTTTAAAATACATATGTTAAAGGAACCCCCTTAAAAATTTATAGACAGATCAACAAAGTTCAAGTTTTAATGTCCAACGTTTATTTAGAAATTCAAATCTATTTACAGTCTAAATCAAATGACAGTGCATACAACAACACAAAACAATATTCTAAATACAACAAAACAGAAACTGAGATATTACAAAAAACAATTATGAACTTTAATTAAACAAGTTCAAAATATCCCATTTTTTAAAAATCTGTAACCAAAACATTGGAGTGATATAATAATTTGATTAAATAATAATATTGCCATTACAAAATCTTTATCTTTAAAGTAACTCTCTTTTCTCTTTCCTTTGGTACAACCTATAAATGGCAGGTGTTTAAAAATGCTCGTGCAAGTCCAAARCACCATTTAAATACAAAATAATATTGTATTTAAATGCTGGTTTGGTTTTTAAATTATTTAAAGAATGAAATCCCGCAGGAATGGTGAAGCCATAATTTGACTTGTCAAATTTCAATCAATTGAATCTCAACCATCCATAATGTATAAATATGTGTAAGAATCAATTTTGAAAATAGCCCTATTTGTGCTCTAACTATTCCCTTAGCATGGTACTAAATCTTCTTGTAAGTTCTTAATGAGCTTATTCTGTGTGGTTGAGGATGGTCGTTCTGACAATGGCTTCAGTGACACTGTATGGATCACAGTTAGATGATGGTCTTCTATCCTCAAGGTATCCTTTACCATCCTCGGCACACTGACGAGGAATCCTTACACTTGCACCACGGTTGGCAACACCATGTGAGAATTCATTGATGCTTGATGTTTCATTTCGTCCAGTCAGGCGGCGAGCATTATCACGCCCTTGGTTGGGATCATACTTCTTGATGTGGTAATCATGGTTCTCCTCCAACTTCTTAATGGCTTCATAGATATCTTTCATACCTCCTTCATTTCTCATTTCCAGTGTACTGCAAACAAGAAAAGAAAATTAAGAACAGAGTTTTAAAAAAGTCACAGAGGGAACACAACAAACATAATAAATAACCTCTCTTTACCTGTAATTGCAGTGAGCACCAGCACCATTCCAGTCACCAGGCATTGGTTTAGGATCAAAGGTAACCACAACACCAAAGTCTTCTGCAACACGGTGTAAGATGTACCTGGACATCCACAGGTGGTCTCCCATCTCAATACCTTCACATGGACCTACTTGATATTCCCACTGTTTTKATAAACACAACACAAATTTAGGCTTAGAAAAACTTCAGAAAAGAAAACAGAACATCTAAGTCCCACAAATAAGCTGTGGGTAATCTCTCCTAAGTATTAAATAAAATCTATGCAAGTCATGAAATCAATCTGAATTTGATAATCAAGTGGCTTCCTCCTAACTTTACCATTAGTTTGGAAAAGACCTATCCCGAATTCGCTTGACTGGTCACGAAAAAATGGTTTCAAGTCGAGGTTGAACTTGATGAATAAAAGAATCAAGTTCAATCTCGACTTCAAACCATTTTTTCGTGGTCAGTCAAGCGAATTCGGGATAGGTCTATTAAACAGATAACCATTTTCTCACATAAAGGTGTATCAAATAATCGCAACATTAAAGCATTTGCATGCAAGCCCCTTCGCAACAGACTTTTTCCTCTACTTAAAAAATTAATTCATATTTAACTGAAATCAGTAACCAATTCCTTACCTGAGCAGGCATCACTTCAGCATTAGTACCAGCAATCTTGATTCCAGCATACAGACATGCACGGTAATGTGCTTCCACAATTTCTCGTCCAAAAACTTTGTTGGTTCCAACACCACAATAGTATGGTCCCTGTGGTCCTGGGAAGCCACCTTTGGGCCAGCCTAATGGATGGCCATCTACATCAAGAAGGGTGTACTCTTGTTCAATGCCAAACCATGGTATTGATTTCTAGATTTAAAAACATAAGATCATCAAAATACTGGAAAAGTAGTCAAATTTAGATTGCTTTTAATAATGATAATGAGAGCATTTTTTGTACGGTGCCTGCAATGCACTAAATAGCTTGCGGTTAGATACCTGTAGTGGTGTGGAAATAAGTTTATCAACATTGTCTCAAACGATTAAGTTAGTACATGTCAACAAGATATATTTCTCAGAGTTGTATTTTATGCTTGTTTATTTCCCGCGGTAAATTAATATTTGCACCAACTCGTGTCAATTTCAAACRCAACATAACTATTCTGTGATTAGCTTTCACGCTAGGTCGGGATGCAGTAACATTGCAAGGAGTCGATGGTCAATACGAGTACAGCATGAGCTTAATCTGGGTGTATTCCGAAAACCTTGACCCAAATTTAAGTTGGTAATTGGTAACAAGTGATGTTTACAGACAGGAGCCTTACATGTTTGCAAGGAGTAGGTTTTTCAAAAAGTTTGCWGATCAGATTAGGACAATTGACCCCGGAGATATTCATGATGAGTTTGGTAAGCCAATATCCAGGGGAATTTTACCAAAGGTAAATAAACAACGACACATCACGGTTGTCAATTCCTTTGCTTTGGCTTCATCTCTCTTAAGGCCAAGTKATCTGTCACCAGTAAAGAGGATGCCATTCATAATTCAAGCTAAAGTTTGAAAAGACTGCTGTGGTGATATAAAGGAAATTGTCTTTCACTTTCTCTATCCAGCACCTTTCTCAATTTTAGTAGGCCAAGATCTGTGTATAAAAACCCAACTACTGATCCATCATGATGACTGAARTTATATCATGAGTTCTTGGAGTTTGCTAAAATTCCTTTTCTTTGTTTCTATATAATGTAGAACCGGGAGTATTTTGCAACTTTTAGTTTCGGTTGAGCTGGATATGAATCAAGGTGAATTAAATAAATCATTCAAATTCGAGTTTATTTTTTGAGAAAATGTTACTGATATTTTTGAACTTATATTTGGACTGGAAGTTATCAGATAGCATGTAACTGCCATATCGAGGTAAGCATCTGTCAACATATATCCGAGTCTAAACGCTATAAAGTCTAGTTATTCCCGACGCATCGGTTACCACAAAAAATGTTAAGCACGCCGAAAAGTGTTMCGGCATTTACAAATTTGAAGGCTCTCCGGCTCGTTATGAGTTTCCATACTGAAACTGACTAAAAATAGAAGCAGACAAGACGTCAATGTAAGCACCGTTTTATCTACTTTGAAGTATCATAACCCAAATTCTACATAATAATAATAATAATGATGATAATAATGATAATAATAGGGAAAAATTAAAATTCCWTACTGAAACCGACTAAAAATAGGAACACATTAGACGTCAATGTAAGCATCGTTTCATTTACTTTGAAGTATCATGACCTTAATTCTGCGATCAAGGAAAAAATTAACAAAGGTTACCATTCAGGCAGGTATCCGTTCAGCTGTCTGTGACGCACATCCCKTACACGACTGCTAGGATACGAAATTTCCATCAAAACATTTGAATCCCCTTAAATTATGTACGTCTATCAAGATTTCTTAAATACTTCAAAACTTTCAAGTAAACTTATGAACCAGCGAAGAGAAAACTTCAGAATCATGATTATGAACTTATTTTAGTGATCTTTCCGCCTATTTTAAATATTTTTGTTAGGGTGGTACGACGTTCAGACGTGACCAAGACGAATGATGCAATATTATGCACCGGCGCGAATGTTCTCGTGGAAGAAAACGAAACTATTATAAATTTTATTTWAAAAATCTTAATTCCCCTATGGAAAACATCCAAAATTGATGGAAAAAAATCTTAGAATATCAAWTAGGATATTTACTTGGACTTTGCACTTTCGAACATAGTTCGTGCATGCGGGCAAGTAGCTTATGAAGTGGTCATGTGTTCGTAGCATGGCAATAATAATATGGCTATCGGAAAAATGTCTGTTATGCTTTACTTTAATCCTACAAGAAAAACAAGCTTATTATGTTTTCTTTGAAAGCATCGTAGAACGATTTGAACATTTTGAAGAAGAGGATAATCTCATTTCGGTTTGAATATGCGAGTATATACTTTTCATCGTTCGTTTCATAAGAAAGTATGTAAATTTATACACCTGTATGAATAACAAATTTTCGTCGTTTGTACTTTGAACTCGGTTTCATAAATCAAAAACACCATTTTACTGTGGTTTCGTATGATGTTTTGTTGGTTTTTCTCAGAGCGTCCTAAACATTTTGAATTTTTAAAACGGCTTAGGTTTTAGTGAAACTGAATTTCGAATCAAAGACTAGCTAATGTCGAATCAAATCGAACAACTTTAGCATAACGAGACTAGAGAYTCCCCGCCAAAACTTTCTTTTCTCTGTCGCGAATTTACGAATAAAATTATTCGTTCCACACGAAAGAATTTCATAAACGACTTCATACTCGCAAAACTTTTCTCCAAAAGAAGCAAACTTTTACAACCTTGAATTAAATGTTTTTAACGCTCGAATCTAAACTCCTCATAAAGTTTAATTAAACGGTTTTACTCTTTTCTTATCTTGACGTTTTACATCGTTAATATCCTAAATTTTTCATGTGATAGTAGAACGAGGTTAACATTTGATAAATTTCCATTTATAGCCCTGAATAGTGAGCTTTTTGGTATTTAAGAAACTTTTTTTGAAAATGAATGACCTACATGTAATTCAGCCCAGAAAATGCCGCGTGTAAGCCCTGGGTGTAAGTTGCGTTTCATTTACCTTGACTTTGTCATTTTCCATAACTTCAAAGCAGGACTTTCTGTGGTTGGTATTGGTGGGTTTATGGTTGTACTTATATGTCTCGCAGAGAACCAAGATATTTTCTCCGCCTCTAAAAGGATCCTTGAAGGTAGACACGGGGTGAAGATAGACATCACTGTTGAAGCCCTCGGCCTGACCGGTACTAGAGCCATCGAAGTTCCAGATGGGCAAGTCATCGATAGATTCTGGAAGCTTATCCAGGGTTCTTGTCTTACAACGTATTCCTTCACCGGTCCCGTCYACCCAGATGTACAGGGCTTGAATTCTATCTCCTTGGTCGAGCTTATGATATTTGTCCAAGACAGATACCTTGTCGGTGGCTGTTCTCTTGTCGTGTAAACTCATGGTGAGTTTTAAAAGCTCGTGTTGCTACGTAAGGATTGATGAATGAATCTAAAAGAGAGCACTGGGAAAAACGGGGTACGCAGTCAGTCGACTTTCATCTCACTTTAACCTATTTAGTGAGTTAAAAATAATACTTTCTTATACACATTTAACTTACCTTATGACTMACTGGAACTCATGAGAATGGCATAGTAAAACTGTTTAGGATGGTCGGGCTTTATATAAGTATATGACGTCACAGCGCCATCTATTTCAGCCAATCAGAGATAAGTGTGTCCACGTGCTGTTCACGCAAATATATACTGGGCTCTTCTCATGGGCGCATTTGCGTCAACATTTTGCATAATTTAACAAGTTTTTACAATAAAAATAAGTAAAAATAGCTCCACGTGAGCTTCTTAGGATTATTGAATAAAGGCGCACATATTCCTTAAAATATCATTTTGCATAATTTAACAAGTTTTTACAATAAAAATAAGTAAAAATAGCTTCACGTGAGCTTCTTATGACTATTGAAGAAAGCCGCACATATTCCTTAAAATAGGTGGTTGCCTATAAAAACTTCATATTATGATCATGTGTGATCGGCTATGGTCTGAGTAGCGCCGCTATATTGCACTTTTGACAGACTGTAGATCCCTCAACTTTACTTCCATGCAAATTCATTTCGCAGTTATTTAGGTAGAAAATGCTTCTTCGCAGTAATGAGATGCTGTGTTTTCGAACAAGTGCTGAACAGTGACGTTAAAGTTTTATTGTGACCCAGTCACGTGGAACTTCGTGATCGGACCTGAATCACCGGTCAAGTGGTTTTAAAAAACGTTTGAACATTCTTTTTGAAGATTATTATCGGTTATATTCAGTGACGTTAAAGTTTTATTGTGACCCAGTCACGTGGAACTTCGTGATCGGACCTGAATCACCGGTCAAGTGGTTTTAAAAACATTTGAACATTCTTTTTGAAGATATTATCGTTATATTCATGCATGAAAAACGTGACAAACCTTAAGAACGCAAAATACTCTAACAAAATACCCCAAAAGCGCGCTAGAGCCGTCACCGAAAGGCATAGAGAAATTTTCCTTTGTTCGCCCGCGAAAGAAAAGTCAATCGGTAATAAATAGTGGTAGACAAATTATTTCTATGGTTTTCTTTTGTTTTACTTTAACTGTTAGTCACTACACAACTTTATTTAAAAATAAAAATCTCTCTATGATTGACATGGTGAATAGAATTACTCAGTGCAAGAGCCGACCGAGCTTTTTTGATCARAATTTGATACACGCTTTTTATCGACTATGACTTCGCATAGATTGAAGAGAATAAGCTTCGACAGCGTTATTCATCAAACTCTTCAAGCAACCGCAATCAAAATAAAACTGGCCCAAAAGTAAACAATATATATTGTGCTCCATATTGTATTCCATTGTACTTTATACATATACATATATATATATATATGCTTTGTTTTATTCTTTCTAATCATTACGGTAATGTCACACGATGTAATCTCCATTGTACTTATTTTTTCTCTCTTTCCTTTTCCTAAAACTCCACGAAACCTTGTAATTACTGTTAACTGTGTAATCTCCCACGATGAGCTTAGCTCTTGGAGAGAGCACAGAGAATCAGTATGTTTAAAAAAACAACAACGACAAAACAATATGTATGAGTTCTAAAACAACCGCAAGCCTGTGACATGCATGACCATCATTTCTAACTATAATCTTCAGCTTACATTTGCTTCATTCTTTTCAGTCTTCGAAAATTGCCAATACTCATTTTTACAGTCGTCCCGTTCAGTGATCACGAATAATATTTGTAAGTCGAGGCTGGAGTTTCCGCGCAAACCAAAATTATGCCTTTTATTATGCACGGCAACTCCAACCTCGACTTGGAACTATTATTCATGGTCACTGAACGGAACTGTAAAATGTAGTATTCCATTCGATGCAGTTGTCAAAAACGTTTCATTTAAAGCTCGTATATCAATTTTGGAATTTAAATGTTGTTGCGGTGACACCGCGGTTGAACTGTGAACGATTTCAGCTGATCATGAGCACTCGGTTGTTACGTTGTTTATTGTGATGATATCCTCAGCTTTATTCGCATTTGTCTCTAGATCAATCGCTATCTCCTCTACTCACCCACCCCCTTTCCCCGACTGCAAGCTGACCGGTGCTTGATAGTTGGCCGCCCTACACGACCTCGTCATTTCACTTTAATTGGCTCAAACAGGTAATATGAYAGCAACTGAAAGCTCTCTATATATCTATATATTGATCATATTTGCGATATAGTAAAATCAGTTAAGTTAACTATAGCAAGTACACCATTATCGGGAGCATCAACTGAAGAGGGTCGAAAGCAACTGAGCGATCGGGAAGTCTTGAAACAAAGGCTACGTGAAAAGTCTTTATTTTCTTTCATAAGGACCGGATATAACCCCAGTTGCTTTCCTTACCGGATACGCCTTAAGTGTTAAATGACTAGGGATCATTGGTCATATGAGTCAGGAGCGAGGCTTCACTTGTCAAGGTGAAATGTTCATCCAAGATGAAAACTACCATTACATATGCACAGCAGAGAAATAATACCGCAATTCAGTTTATGTCGTGTGATGTTTATGTATATCATTATTTACTGCAATGGTGGTCACTGACTCATTGGAAAAGCAAAACGTCACTCACGTGACGGGCGTTTTGAATTTACTTACGGTCYTCCAATTGAAATCTGATTATCATGTTTCCTACAGGTTATCTTTTTTGGGTTATCTGTTTATCAGCTGATTCGCAAATGGTTTGAATGGCATAGAAAAATAAACAGCATGATTTTTTGGGTGATATTCAAGTCACATCTCATAGCTTGTTGCGCTCAATGAGCACAAGCAATTCATAAACAATTTTGATTGACAGGTGAAGTGCCGCTTTTACAAGGGATCCCACTGAGACATTACGGCAAGTCTGGGCACATTTAAAAAAACCGATATTGCTCCGGAAAATTAAYAAATAAAGTCAAAAGTCATAAATGCGGGGTGTGCAAAACAAGCACTTATCACGATAGCTCGAATATGAAGAAAAATTCATATATTGGTCAGATCATAAAGAAATAAATTCAAAAGTTATAAATTCAGAGTCGCAAACCGGCATTGCAAACCATTTTTACCAGATGTTTGGGTTTYCTGTGGATTTTTATTTCTGAGCCCTCGTTTTTTTAAGGGCAGCTGTATCACTAAGAGCTTAGCAGCCACGCCGGAAAATTTAGAAAATCGAAAAATCAAAAAACCAAGTCAAAATTTAATGGTGAAAACAAAACTCATTTATAACGTCTTATAATTTTATAAGGAGTGCTCAGAGATCTAAAGTAAACGTCCGCAGTAATGGCGGAGTTTCAGGCAGTGATCTTGGCTGCTGGGAGTGGGTCTCGTATGTACCCTCTCACAGACAAGATCCCCAAAGCCTTATTACACGTGGGAAACATGCCTCTTATRTGGTATCCTGTTAATCTGTTGGAAAAAGCGGGCTTTGAAGGTAATGTTGAGYATATATAGCGCAAAGCACTGTCTGAATTCGAGTTTTGGAGTGTTCATGAATGTAAAGTTAGGTAATGTCACTGTAGAGTGCTTTTAGTCTCACTGTTGAATAGGTGACGTCAACTAAATTAGATAAGTTATTTACTATTTCAGGTGACGTCACCTAAATTTGAAACTACGTGTAAACAGCTACTGAGATCAGGGGGGAAACGATGATGCAAATGAATGTCTATTCACTCATTCTCTTGTAAAACAACCCCCCGGATWAGCATGACCGTTATTTGGCGYGCTTTTACTATTTTAGGTGATGTYAACTAAATAGTTATSTAAGTTAGATAAATTTATCTAACTATTCAAMAGTGAGACTAAAAGCACTCTAATGAGGACACGAACTTTGAATGGCTAAATGMAATTTGAAGATTAGTAAATTAATTAAGTAATTGTAACTAAATTRTAACTAAAATAATGCTATGCAAACAATTAACTTTCATCCTCTCTCCTCCATTTAGGTTACTTTAACCCATTTTTCAAAACCACACCTCCCCTTCTTCTTTCCCCACCCCTCCCCCTTTAACCAATGCTGTAAATTTTAAAATCCAATTTCAGGTCTTTTTAATTTTATACACAAGATATTGTGACTTCATAACTTGTATAATTAGCAATTATTCGCCGATGGCGAAGTGAATATCGGGGAATATTTACCRAGACGAGAGTCTTTGAGCGGTGAGGTAAATATTCTCCATATTCAATGCCTTCGTTGCCTTTTTAGTATTTATAATAGGAATGGCATTTACTTTAATTTTTTCAATTTCCTTATCGGAAATTGTAGCAAAAACGATTGCCAGCAGATTCCATTTTGTTGCCGACCCAATATTCTGAGACTCAGAGGTGAATATCGTACAATATTCACCTCCAATTAACCAATGAGCACGCGYGTTCTTAGGAAGTATACAAGTTGGTATATGCTAATATAGTTTCTACATGGCTAAAAATAATGGGTGGTCTGAGTCATCAGTCATGATGACCTGAGTCAAATTAGTTTTGGTTTGATCACACCTCTYTTATGGCTCAATGTTGCTGGTCGAAATGACTGGCAAGGCTAAGACTTTGCCGACAAGGTGCAATTTTGGCTAAAAAATGTCTTATGACTGGCCATTGTTCTTAGTCCTGTTTTGTGTAGTTCCAGAAATTATCCATAACCAGCCCACAGAGGAATTTGGAATTTCCAAAGAGTAGGGGGATCAGAGAAAGAACAAAAATTACAGAGTTTGTATGGAAAAAAATTGGAATTTCTTGGGGGTAGGGGGGTGTCTTAAAAAAATTCCTCCGTGAGGGGGGTATGGATAATTTTTGGAACTGAACATTAGTAACTTTTATTTATTTGTGATAATATACAGGTACTAAAGCTTTCTATTGTAATTATTTTTATTCTATCTAGAAATAATTGTTGTAGTTCTTGAGTCAGAGGCGACCAAAATATCTCAAGCACTAACTACGTATTGTAACAATCCCAAGTTGAAATTCGAATTTGCAACAATACCAGATGACAAAGATATGGGAACAGCAGACTCATTAAGACACATCAAAGATAAAATAGAGGTACATGTATACACACCCTGTAATGGAGTGTTGGACCATAAAATATGTTAATAATAGAGTGCTCATTTTTGTTGAGGCAGAGGGATTCATTTGGCAACCCATACAAAAAAATCTAGCTGCACCCACTCTCTATTGTTGCATACAAAAAGACACCTTTGTTTTTACATTATTCTGTTTAATGTAAAAGAGCTGTGTGACTCAGATTTTTTTTGTGTCCCCCCCCACCCACCCCACTCCCCAAATCCCACTGCATCACCTCACCTGCCCTTAAAATAACATGTGATCTGACTGAGTATAACATTTTGGCAAATACTGATCCATTGAAAAAAATATAATTGCTTTTTTTTCCTTATGATTTACTGATCCTCCAGAAAGATATTGTGTTAGTGAGCTGTGACCTGATCACTGATGTTCCCCTTCATCGTCTTGCTGATATTCATCGGACTTATGACGCATCTGTAACAGCACTTCTAGCTCCCATACCAGAGACCAGTGCTGATAGAGAAGCAGCAGCAAATCCAAAAGCAAAGAAGAAGAAAATTCAAGCAACAGGTATATAATATCTTGTAATACTGGGTTGACAAATATTGACGACAGCCATGTTGGTGGTATTAACRAAGGAAACAATTAAAGACCCATTGCCACTTACCGTGATGYATCACAATTTGTTTACATTTTGAATCGTGTCACCACTGAAAAAACAATTCTAAMCTTTTGAATAAACTCTTAAAAGAATGTGAAAGAATCATTTTTGTGCCTTAGTGCTATGTCGGAAAAGGATTYAATATGAAGTTATTATTCAATATGTGAATCTTTGAATTTCATGGACCACGAAATTYATCTGTGACTGCGGTGCATCACGGTAAGTGGCAATGGGTCTTTAAGGAATGTTTTGTTACTGCTGTTTTCATGAGCATGCATACTCTATAGTTGCGAACTGCAYGCGGAAATTTGTTTTTTTGCTGCTATCAGTGTAAAATATGAAAGATATCGACTGATTGAATTTGATTGACGGCAGTGAAAAACCAAATTTCAGTGTGCAGCTCGCAGCTAGCAAGTTAGCATGTTTATGGAAATAGCATTAATACCATCAATATACTAGGGATGATGTGACATGGAGATGCATTGAATTGTATGATAAGCTACAGGTATAAATCTGTTGGTTTTTTTTWAATTGATACAGATCACTGTGATTATACTGGCATTCACTCTGCAGAAAACAGACTTATTTATTTTGCTCCCGGAGCAGATTTAGAAGAAACTCTTGTCGTTAAAAAATCTTTACTCAAAAGGTACTGTATTACAAAAAATTAATGGTAAATTAATTTTTTTATGATCAAAAGATTAATATTTGAATYTTAATTGATATGCAGTAAAATATATTATATTCATTTGCAGATATCCGTGTATTAATATAGTTACCAATTTGATGGACGGTCACTTGTATATCATGAAAAAATGGACCATTGATTATCTTACCCAAACCAGGTTAGTTACGTACCTAATTTGACTATGAGAGAAGAAGAGTTTGGAATGTACATGCAGGGTTTTCAATAAGGATCAGCAATTAGAGAATGGTCTGGTAACTTGGCAAAATTCTCTGCCTTAAACTTCCATGATGTTCTTCTATATTTATTTAAAGCTTACAGAAAACCCTGCCAGGACTTTCTGGCTAGTTCATCTCTGATGTGAATTTTAAAAAGTCTAATTTTTGTTTAGGCATACTCATCAATCAGTTTATATTTTGCTTTACTTTTTACGCAGATCAATTAGTACAGTCAAGGGAGAGCTCATTCCTCACCTAGTGAAAAAACAGTTTCAAAAGCACAACAAAGTTAAAAAAGCATTTATTCTTGGACCTGAAACTGGATCTATTTCTGTTGCTGGCGATGATTCAAAACCAGGTAAATRAATATAGTAACTATGCTTATGTTCTGTTAAGATTTGTTATGTCAAAATTTTGTTATAGACCGTAAGGTTTTATCCTCGATGTTTTCAAGTGCAAGTGCTGATCAACATTYGACCAGTCAATGTGGCAAGTTAAGAGGAATATGGCTCCTTTGGGTAGTGGAGTTATAACAATAGGATGAAGGGAATAAAGAATACATTACRTTTATGGTAAATGCAAAAAAGTCCCAGGAATGCACACCTAAGAAGCATTTGGCCACTTAGATAAGTGCTAGTTTTGGCAAGACATTGTTTCTTGACTGGCTGCTAACTTCAGCAATTGAGTGTGTACATATAGCCCTTAGCCAATCAAGACTGACTATTCTGAGACTTGTTTGCTCAGAAATTTCAAAAGATTGGGGAACAAGGTCATATTACAAAAAGAGTAGTTGAAATCTACACTTTAAAATGATTATCACTTTGTTTCACCTTTCTTTTCAGATCTTTTAAGCCTTGCTATAGAGGATGACATTACTACTGCCRTTAGAGATTTGTCATCATGGAGAGGTTCATGCGCAACAGAGAATGATAACAGCAATAGCATTAGGTGCCATGCATATGTCATGGAATCTGGTCTGTGTATACGTGCAAATAATTTACAGATGTACATGGAGGCCAATAGACTGGTAAGAGCAGTCGCTGTGAGAGAGGCATAAGCAACTGTAACATATATTTTCTTACAGTTCATGGGCTGGGATAATGAGAAGTGGGGTGGACAGCTTGACTTTAGACAGCAATAATAGTGCTAATTTAGGGGCCACCTAGCGCCCTAAAAAGTGGATGGGGGGAGGGGGGCCAGCTCCACCCTCTCCATGGACCCTGTGATTCATAACCAGTAATTCCTGGACATGCCCTTTAGTTCATGCAAACCTTAGTACCAAAATATTGCTAATCATTTCTTTTGAAAATTCAATTAGCGTCCATGCACTAATGAAGATGAAGTTACCTGTTGCGATATTCAAAATGTATTCAAAATGTGAATATTATTTAAAAGTGGTGGATTTTTCTTTCCTATAGATTCCCAAAAAATTAAATGAATTATCTTCAAAGGAAATTCCCTTGGTCCATTCTTCAGCATTCATCAAACCTAAGTCTCAGGTAAGGGATTTGATCTAAATACTTTACAGAATTAAATGTAGTTTTTTCAAGTATAAATGTTATGTTATTTAAAAAAAAATTTATGTCATACACAAAATTTGGTGTTAACATTTTATGTCATTTATTTGTTTGGATTTTACGTCATTTTTTTCCCAATGTATTGTAAATGTTTCAGGTTGGTAATGACTGCATGGTTGATGAAAGTGTGTCCATTGGAGAGAAAGTATCTGTGAAGAGATCAGTCATTGGTAAACACACAACGATCGGAGACAGAGTCAAGATAGCAAACTCTGTCATCATGGATCATGTCACTATCAAAGATGGGTAAGATATTTGATAAAACTACGTAAAGAATTTACATGTTGTATGTATTTTCATTAGCAAGAGTTAATACAATAGCTTTGCAGTGAGTTTGAAAGTTTTGATGTCAGTTCTCAATGTATCCAAGACAATAGACCTGGCTCAGCTTGGACGTAATGTTTTCCCATTTCAGACCACGTGTCATTTCCTTGAGAATAGGATTCTTTGTTTGAGTTGTATCCATATTCATGTTTCTTCTCAAGGGCAACTGAGTGCAACCTAAACAAAGAAATGATACTCTAGGGAATGACATATGGTCTGAAATGGGAAAAACATTATGCCAGAGCTTGGCTATTGCCGTTAAAGCTGTAAAGTAAGCTGCTTCTAATTGGCTGCTCCTGCTAAAGGTAGGGTATTTGCCTCCACTCCATATTGTGATAATAGCTCACCATTAGAGTTAGCAGTAGCTCAGTGGTTAGAGCACCCAAGTAGATTATGAGAAGGCTGTGGGTTGGATTCCCTTCTGGAGCTCGGACATTTTTCATGCCTCCACACACATTTTATTCATACTTTTATAAATATCAAAGATTCAATTTAATCTTGCAGGTGTAATATCCAGGGAAGCATTATCTGCAATGATGCATACATCAAGGAAAATGCAAGTCTGAAAGATTGTCAAGTAGGAAATGCCCACACCATCAATGAAGGAGGTAATTATTAGATCCTAGATCACAAAGCACCAGTGATCAGGTGTGCTTACCATTTACATGAAAAAAAATGGAAATTCCGGTTGGAAAACAAATGGTATGTGTCACTCCAATCTTAATGTTCCGGAAATTCGGTCTTCCGATATTAGTAATCCAGTTTCCCGCTCTTTTTGGTTCTTCTGGTAGACGTGTGTACCATTTTTCAAAAGTCAAAGTTTCCTGCTCTTTTCTTATCATTAGCGAATGAATTTCCAACCAGATGGATTGGTTTAAATGGTAAGCACCCCAGATTTCGTTTGGGCGTTGGAGTAAGGTGGGTTTTGAAGGGGGAGGGGGGTGGGCATRGAGATCTCATTTAAGAGGTGAAATGTAACCCTATCGTAACCTTGTCGCGTGTTAAAGTAAAGGCTCACTGTCTCTTGCCTTAGAGTTATATTTTTGCTCATAACCCATTATTCCAAGGGGGCTTAAAAAGTCATAACTTCCACCTTTCCTTCCCATCTTATTATTCTCCTTTCCCAACCCTAGCTTATGATTAGTATTACAAGTTAACTCCTTAACTTTGTATTATATTGTAGTTGAATGTAAAGGAGAAGCATTAGTTGCTGAACAGCTAATGGATTTTGAGTAGACAAGGATAACAGACTACATGAGTACGTTCACAACATTTTCAGTTCACCAAGACAACTATGAATATTGTCATAACTTATTTTAAAAAGATATTGTTAAAAGTATTGCAATCTTATTTCTAGAAAGTATAATATCTAATAAAAGTCTGTATGCTAGGGTGTTATCAATAAATGATTATAAAATGGTACTTCAAGTAGTCTGTGGATAAATATCTAAATGTATTTATAAAAAAAACTAACAAAAATTGGTGATGATATGCATTTTAATTTAATAACTTGAAATTACAGGTAAATTTGCTGACATCATWATTATTGAGAATATCTATYYTAAAATAAATTTCTGCACCATGTTGACTATTYTTTGTCTATAAAATATGTTAAATAYATAAATAAAAACATTCCTGATWACCGTTTAACTTTTATTTTAATCAAGGTGAACAGTTTAGAGTGGTTTTCAAAAACCCCTGAAACAATTACTAGCDTATTTAGCAGTAATACATTTTATTACACTCTAATATTGTTTATTCATGTTGTATACCGTAATAACAGCATGAAGCCWAAACTATACATATAATGGTCCACTACATGTAACATACGCACTAGGTTTTTGAAAACCACTCCAAGAGATTTAGAGTACTTGAACATAACCCAATTTCAAACATGATAAAGTTCAAAGTTCTTCAGTACATAGTTCTTTGTCTAATCAACTGCTTAGTTCCAGATACATATTCATATTGCCTAAATATAAGTACTGGCATAGCAAGGGAGTAAAATATATACAGCAAGTACATGAAATACATAAATAAGAAATTGAATAAAATTGATATTATACAGCTTATCTGACGTACACTAAACAAAATACTGTCACACTATTGGACACTTGCTTCTTGCTACTAATGTATGTACAGCTTGTAAACATTTGGATTGTCTATCGAATGAAAAATGCATGTGCCTTAGTTTTGTTTTTTAATGAATCTACGAATACCTTTGGACTTTGGACTAGCACATCTAAGAAAAAATACGATAAAACTTTTTAAAATGCAAAAAAACATGTACCAGCTAGAGTTGCAATTTGCATAAGAATGGCACATTTTACATGTACTAAATAAATTCAAATGTACATGTTTTTAAAATGTTAAGGTTTTTTCCTTTAATTTGGTTCATCGATTTTCTCGATAGCCATCCATTCGTCTTCCTCTAGTACCCTGGAGCTTTTTTCTAATATTGCAGTCATAATGTTGTTGAACTCYTCTGCGTTGTCAACGTGGATGTCGTGTCCGGCGTCTGGGACAATGTAGACATCCACACTATTCTCTGGACGTATGCATTTTAATTCGTACGCTGTACGATGATCAAAAAACGTCCCCGAACCGTACATGGCAGATATAGGGAGGCCCTTATCTAAATCTTTCACTCGTTTTATCATCGGACTCTTAGCCCATCCCAACAGAAAATTCATATTTCTGAAGGCATTTTCCCCAGTTGGGTTTTGGGCATTGCAGTGGTAGATGTATTCAAACACGGTGTTGTCTTTCCAGAGCTCGGATTTTCTCTTATTTGGGTCAAATCGAGCCAACCCTACAAGCCAAGGACCCAAGGGGCCAAAAATACGGATGGGGGAGAGAAAATTTAGGGCATTGGAGAAGAAATTTCCCAGCCGTATCCACTTAGGAAGTAGATCGTACTTGAAGAGTGCGTCTGGATGGCGGTCTACTAAACCATATGGCAAGATGGGAAATCCCCAAGGATCGGACAAGATCAAACGTTGAATTCTTTCAGGGTGTTTCAGGGCATAAGCTGTAACTAAATACCCTCCAAGGCTATGTCCAAGAAGGATAAACCTCTCCAGGCCAACAGCCTTGCGCCAGTTTTCTAGGTACTCCACGAATTGCTCTTCAGCTTTCTCAGGATCAGGCGAAAATTCCGGGCGAGAACTTCGGCCAAAACCGGGCAAATCAATAGCATAAACTGTATGGCTTTCACTCAACACATTAAAGTTCTGCACCCACCAACACACACCGCTAATAAATCCATGGATAAGCACCAAAGGTGGTCTCTTGGTTGGCTCATTATTCACTTTCAAAGTCCAGATCTCAACACCTTCCCCAATTTTGACAAAATTTCCTTCCCAAGGCTTCTTGATTCGCTTTAAAATCAAACCTTCCGCATCTTCGAGTTTCTCCCTTGACGTAGGAATCCAGTAGCTACCAGCCCAGCTGGCTAATTTACCCAGTGGYTCTAGAAAGGTAGCCATTTTAGCATTTCTCTTCCCTGAATTTCTGCTTTGTTTATATTCAGTCAAATTAATTCACCTGCTGTCGAGCGTGAAGAAGAGACTGAGCACCAGTTAAAATGTAAATTTTTTACCGTGCGAAGTCTGGATACCAGTTGTTTTGACGGTGGGAAAAGAGTTGTCATGGTAACACACTTAATTTGAAGAAGAAAGCAAAATGGCCGCCGGATCATAGTCGAAAATACAACAGGAAAACCCCCAAAAATACTGCTAAAACCCGTTCATTATGACAGAAATATTGTGCCGTTGGCTCAATGAAGAGGTCGGGCTTAGCCGGCAAATTGGTAAGTTGATTTTTCTTGCTTAGAAAAGGCGAATATTTGAATTAGATAGAATGGTCTTTTCCTAAGATAAAATGTGAAACAAGATTCTTGACTTTGCGGAATAGTTCATTCTTTTTATACTGTTGGAGTACTTCATTTTATGCTATAAGGGGATCCTAAGTTTACTTAATCAATAAGTAACGTATTTTTTATATTTTTTGACAAATGATTTACTGCTTTTCTCTTCAGATCATTTCAATTTTGCCAAGGAGTTTGCAACGGGATATCTCTTAGGGGAGCTCCTTGAGAAACATGCTTTGCAAAACGACTTTGCAGAATTTTCCCAAAGCATGTAAGTATGCTTGTTTAATTTACATTTACATATACAATGTATTTAATTCACATTTTAAATTGGCCAAAAATATTTAATTATATTCAAGAGTTTTTTAAAATATTGCTTACAGGCTATTGTTGCAGTTTTTAATTAATGAAGGATATAWAAAATGCATGCACAAGCTGTGTGCAGTAATAAGGCACGCAGGGGTTGGCAGAGCATGAGAAAATGATTAGGAGAAGCATGATGTATAGCAGAGTGCTACTTCCTACACATACTTTAGCCGATACTATACCAACTACTCATTTCATGTTATGCAAACTTGGCCCAGGGAGTACTTGCTAAGTTAACTGGCACCAGTGAAAAACCAAATTCCAAGGGGCAACTTAAAGCTGTTACTCATGTCTTTATAATTTTCTTTAGTACGGCTGACTCTAAGCTGAATAATTTCACAAGACTGGAGCCTACTTTAAAGCTGCTGGAGGTTCCATATGATACCAATATAGTAAGTATATATGAAAATTTTAATGATTGTGTAGTTCCAGAAAATATCCATACCCACCATGGAGGGAATTTGTAAGAGAATAAACCCACTACCCCCTAGAAACTTCCAATTTTCTTCCAGACAAGCTTCGTAATTTTGTTGTTTCTCTGACTCCCCTCCTCCCCTTCCCAATTCCCACAGTCGGTAGGGTATGGATATTTTAACTACACATTCTAAATTTGTTTGTTTTTTGTCTCCTTTCTCTGTACTTGCACTTGATGAATTCAGTGAAACCACAATCAAACCTTATCTGGTTCTTTGAACCTTCTCATCTTCTGGTATAAGACAATATTGAGACCTGAGCAGACTTTATCTTGGGTTATGTTTCCCATTCCACACCAYATGTCATTCTCTTGAGAATAAGATTCTTTGTTTAGGTCACATGTATATTCCTGTGTCTTCTCTTGAACCACCATTATACACAAGGAATGCCATGTGGTTTGAAGAGGTCTTTATGTTGCAAAAATATTTCTTTTTCCAGGCTCATGCAGTTATGAATGAGAACCACAGCGTTGTCACAAGACTCCTGTATCAGCTGTTCATAACACTAGGGAAGAAAAATGTAAGTAATGTTTGCGATATGTTTACAATTTTCCGATACAATATGGACAACTCGTGAAATACACAAATAATTCATAAATCCTTTGGAACATTTGAATTCATATGCTAATTAGATACAATCACTAGTGCTGTATCAGAACAGTATACATTCCACTAGTGGTTGTATCTAACTATTATTTTCAGTGTAAAGTTTATTTTACAGGATTCTCTAATGAATTACGCTAACCTAATTAATGCTGCAGAACTAAGACTTTTTAATGTTTGTTTTGCCTGCAGAAAATGGGACTTACAGGTGTTGCCATGGAAACAATGAGACCCAGTGGTCCAGTAAAGCTTGAAAGCATAGAAAGTGGCATGTATAAAGAGGTGAGTTGTATTAGCTATAAGAAACTTTGAAACAGTTATTGATAAGATTTTAAAAATGCATGCTTCTACAAATGCAAAATATAATAATTCAATTGTATTAATGTAATGATAAACCTATGATAAATTTTAGTATAACATAATTGTAAATGATAATGAAACAATGTTGCAAAAGATAATTGTCATTCAAGCATTATAGAAGTTACCAATGAAATGTCTAAATCTATTTTTAGAAGATGTGTTTAGGTAAAGATTTGATAGCTATATGTGAGAAGTAATTGGTAAATATAAATTATAAGTGTTAAGATCATAATACCATAAACAGTCAAATAAAAATGATCAACAATTAAATGCACTTTAACCAACAGAGAATTTCTTGTCTATCCTTACTAGAAAATCCTTTTACAAGCTGCAGTTCTCAGCACAAAGGACCTGCTTGACAGTGCAGTCCAAAGCTTATCAAGAGAGCTAATACTAGAAGCTATAGATGACACTGTTAAGGATATTGTCATAGGTGTAGTTAAGGATTTACAAGAAATCTCTGTTATCTTGGTCAATGATACTAAGTCTCTAATCGCTGAAGTTAAGGAACTAAGTAGTGATAAACGGTTAGCTAAAGATGCAAGGAAAGTGATGAAAAATATTTTAGAGACTTCAAAGAGTGTTATGAACTTTGTTAGTGATGTTGATGTTGTTATACGACACTTGAGATGCCAGTTTGAAACAGAGGGGTAAATTATTTTGATAAAAAAGATAAATAAATAGAGCATAATATTTATTGGCATAAGGCTTTATTTAATTTAGTAAAGAACAGAATATAAGTTAGTGTACTCAATTATTCACTCTCTAAAATCTAAACTATCAAACTACATGTGTCATAACTTAATGCCTGGTTCCTAGATTCAAAGGGATTCTCAACAACACATACAGTCAACTCTCGCCTTGTGGACACCCCGATATTATGGACACCTTGCTATTGCGGATAGGAGAAAAATCCCCGGCCAAAAATAATGACAAAGGAATGGCCAAAATTAACTCTCCCTATTGCGGACGCTTGCTATTACAGACGCTAAGTGACGGTCCCGAGGGTGTCCGCTGTAACGAGAGTTGACTGTAATTTTATAAGCTACATAAATTATAAATAACATTTTACAGAGGTCAGGGAATTTTTTGTAAGAAGTGCTAACATCTGTAATGACATTTGTAGATGATAGGAAAATATTCTCAAAATTTGTAAATTACATAACAAATGATGTATATAATACATCCTCTTCTTAAAGGCATTTTATTGCAAGTTCCAAATATGCCATAAAGGTACTTTTGGTTTTATATATTAAAAAAGGATAGAAAATATTATACAGATATAAATTAAATTAACCTTAACCTTTAAAAAGAGTGACTTTAATTTGATGTTTGAAATAAAAAGTTTGCAAAATTACTGATTGTCTTCATGCTGTTGAAAACTAAATGTACAATTATAAACTCTACTATGTGTTGAGGCTGCAAACAATTCTGTTATATATAATTGTACTAAGAGCTTCATGTAACCTGTCATTGAATATGACTCAACATCAACAAGCAGTTTTCTTAATCATGTGTAAATCCACAGAGACTGAAGCAGTTAACAAAACGTCAAGTAGACCTCAACTTTGAAAACCTTGTACAGAGGTACCAAGCAAAGCAAAAACAACAGGAAGAACTGGCTTTCAAAGCAAAGTAAGAAACGGCATTTTCACTGGTATATCACTTTATGCTGCTGGTATTGGAGGGTTAGAAGGGTGTGGCCAGGGAGTCATGTCTTTAAGGTGTCTGTATCCCCACTTCCCTCTGCCAGTTCATTTCTTTTGGTTGAAGGGAGAGATGATTTAATGAGGTGAGTGGGGAGTGACAAATGTTGGAATTCCTGCATATGCCCTTGGTTTTAACTTTTGAAGATGCAGAGCTAGACTTTCGCAAAGTCCTTTTTACTTAGTATTTCACGCGGGCAGAATAAAGCACAGGCAACGCAACTGTTATCAAACGCGCTGGAGCTGTGTGCTCTAGGAAGGATTTATCCGAAATTATTTCCCGCCATTTTTAGCGTCCCAAAAACGGGGCGCTGAATTATGCTCGAGTTCTCTAGAAACGTACGAAAATTTAGCGCGCGCTACAGAAATACGCGCCATTATTTGCACGAAACACGAATGAAAATCCTGCAAGAGAAACAAATTGTCCTCCCGTGACCTCGATGATCGCTTTTTTTCCCACTTGGCTTCGCTCATGACCACTCTATCAGTCTCACAGAGGTGGAATAGGACCAAGTCTAAAGGGTACAGAGCACTAGTAATCAAAAGGTTGTCATAGTATCATGCCTAAAAGTCTATTTTTATTTGTAGGTTTGAAGAAGAAGAAAAATTCAGAAAACACCAACAAGCACAAAGAATCAGAGGCCTAGAAAAGGTAATGATCCAGATAAACACCCCTCCCCCCCCCCCTCAGTAGACTGAAACATTATTGAACATTATCGAAGAATATGAAAACATATTTTACGCTATCCTTGGCCTGTATTATTTATTACTATATGTAATTTCAGTCACGTCAAGTCAGGAATAAGCAGCAAGAAATGATGGACAAGATTCGGTAAGTAAGGACTCACTTAAACGTGATGTTAAAGAGCGATGCCCTGAATCTTCGGGGATATCTGCGTATAGTCTAGTTCCGGCTTAATTATATCACACACGTCAGACAATTGAAATCTAGGTAGAAAGAAAGTGAATCAACTGTTTTTGTGAAACAAAAATTGCAAAGACTTTGAAAAAAGCAACGAGCAGTTCTTACTTATGAAAAGACCACACCCACTGTGGCAAGGGGTGGCCCATTAGTATAGTGCACGACACAGGAGTTTACTTAACGGAATTCTTTAACCAATGAAAGTGCGACCCAGTTATGATTTAGCATTTATTTCCATTATAGCGAAGCAACGGTCAAGATTCCAAAACCACCAGATGCAAAGGTAAGTGCTCTAAACTTAAGTTTCCCCTTAACGGAATCTTTTGAAGAAGTTGAAAAACATGCGAGAAACGTCTTTTGATAGCAGACGTGCGTTTTCACAACACTTGAGATACGGTTATATTGTCAACAAAATCGTACAAGTTGTCTTCCAGCATTTTCTTGTTGAGTGTTGTAGAGAGGCCTTTATTAGACTTTTATATTGCTCCTCGCTAAAACCAATTTTCGAGTTAAAAATTAGAAAGATTTTCACGTTTTTTTACTTATCATTAATTAAAAATAATCACTGTGAACAGAAATCTGGGAAATCTAGAGGCGAGATACGTCGACAGCGCGAAGCTGAGGTATGTTTGCTCTTAATTCAATTTATCTTGTTTTGTGCGGTTGTCTTTAGAAAAGATACGTGATAATTCAAAATCTTTTTTTTTTTTTTGTGGTGCAAATAGGAAGTTAAAGCCAATATTGATGCATTTGAAGCCAGCATGAAGGCGACTATTCCACCTGTTAGCCCAGCAGCGTTGGACGAGTAAGTTATATAGTTACCACTTTTATTTCCATCCCATATCAAGTCTCATCCAATCCCATCCATCCCATTCCATCTAGCCATTCATTTTCCATTCAACCGTCACAACTACCATCATCATTATTATTTATAGTATAGAAAACGTTACTTCTCACTTTTTGGGGATTTCATTATCACAAGATTCCTACGCATCATGGGAATTTTGGGGAAAAAATACGCGTATCGATTCCGCTATGATTTTTACGTCAATACGTTTAAGGATTTATGATATTTCCTTCACACATGGGCATCTTACATTTTCTTATTTTCTTATTTCTTCCTTTAATCTTTTGCTTGCAGTATACCACGCGTTAGTCGAGATGTATCAGTAGATGTCGAAGTATTCATACGTCAAGACTCAGCTAAACAGCTCCCCGACCCCTTGTCTGTCATCAAGGTATGATCATGCGTTTAGTAAAGTCTTCTACCAGCATGAAGCTCATTTTTAGGAATATACCCCTTACAGCATGTTCGGCGGAAAGCAGCTCGATATGGTGGGCAAAACAAAGCTTTCCAGTTCTCAGAAGAGCAATTTTTTTTGTTTTTCCCCTCCAAACTGAGTTTCTTTGGCGTCAAATGCAAGTGGTCTATAGAACGTTTTACACATGACGTCACAGCCCGCCATATAGGTGTAGTTTAGACAATAACATTGTCATTGGTATTTTTTGTTAGGTACATCGATCTGGCTGCCATCTCTGTTGTCAGTTCACTCTATGGACTGAGTAAAAAC